GTCCCGTCCCGTCCGTCCCCGGCTCGAGCACGCCAGCCCGCCCCGTCCGATCACTGCCGGCCCGGCCCGTCCCGTCCCCGGCCGAGCCACTGCCGGCCCCGGCCCTGTCCCGTCCCCGGCTGAGCACCACCGGCCCCGGCCCTGTCCCGGCCCTGGCTGAGCACCGCCAGCCCCGGTCCCCGGCCGAGCACTGCCGGCCCCGGCCCTGCACCACTGGGCCCTTCCTCCCTATTTTCCCAGACATGTCCGGCTTTTGGGGATTTCCTCCCGGACGGGGATTTAAGGCCCAAAAAGCTGGACATGTCCGGGAAAATCCGGACGTATGGTAACCCTAGATGATCTTTCAAGATCCCTTCCAGCTCTAGGAGATAGGTCCAGCTCCGGATATTATGATTAACCTTGTCAAGTATGTGTAGCCGCCTTAGTCTGTATCCACAAACACAAGGGAGTCCGGTGGCACCTTAGAGACTCACAGATCGATTTGGGCATAAACGTTGGTGGGTAAAACCCCGCTCGGTCAGGGGCGTTGGGTTTTACCCACGAACGCTCGGGCCCCGCTCAACCTGTGAGTCTCTCGGGGCCCCCGGGCTCCCCGCTGTGTTGTGAGTAGGAACCTCGCAGGCAGGAACTGCCGTCGCGCCGGCGGTTGCGCGGGGAGCGGCTTTCGCAGGTCACCGGCCGGGGCTGGAGACACGCCCGTGGGCGGTGAGCAGCCGGGCGGGGTCTGCAGCGCGTCTGCCAGGTACGGCCTGAGCCCGGGGCGGGACCCCCCCGGGACCCCCCCAGCATTTGTACCGGGTGCAATAGATACAGGGTGTAGTTAATGGGGGGGGTTGGCACTCAGGGGCTCTCAGCCTGGGGGTGGGACCCCCCAGTCTCCCCTTCCCGCTTTGGCTCCAGCATTTGTACCGGGTGCAATAGCTACAGGGTGTAGTTAATGTATGGGGGGGTCGCACTCAGGGGCTCTCAGCCTGGGGGGTAGGACCCCTCAGCCCCCCCCCCCCAGCATTTATACCGGGTGCAATAGATACGGGGTGTAGTTAATGTATGGGGGGGGCGCACTCAGGGGCTCGCTGTGCAAAAGGGGTCACGGTACAAAGTTGGAGAGCCGCTGCCTTAGCTGCAGGGGTGCTTAGCTCGGGGGCCTGGCCGAGCCCTGCCTGGGGCCAGCCCCAGTGCCCCGGGGCGATGCAGCGGGTCCGGCCTGCCCTGCAGCCCCTCTGACCCCGGGGCAGGGCCCAGGGGACGGGGCTGATTTGGGGATTGCCCCCGGCTGCCCGGACACAGGGCGCATCTGCTGTGTCTCTGCCTGGCTTTGCTGGGCCCAGCAGCTCGCCCTGCACCTTGTTCCTTTCGCTGACCCACGGGGCCCCCTCCCCAATTCATCCCTAGAACCGGCTCCTGCCCTGCACGGGGGGGACGGGCCAGCTGCCAGACTGGACTGACTTACAGTGAGGCCTCCCCAGCACTCCCCTCACCCCCCCTTTGTATCCTCCTCTCCGTTTGCACCCCAGGGGTGCACAGCCCCGGAGAACCATGTCTCTGAATCACTGAAAATGACGTACGGCCCCCATTCTGCAGCTTGCTCCACCCGGGCAGGTGCCAGCGCTGGCCTGCAGCCCCCTGGGTCACCAGCCCCCCAGATGTTGGGGCAGGAGCGTCCCCCGTGTTCTGAAACCCGCACGCTGGGGATGTCGCTCATTTAATAGTTTCCTGATTCCGGCGGGTGGAAATGGGGGTTCCCGGGCGTTTTGTGTCTCGTTGGTTTCCCAAGAAAGGGGGTGAAGCGGGGCTGGCTAGTGAACGCCCTGCTCTCTGGGGTTTTGCAGGGTGTCTGGTCTCTCGCCCATCTGCCGCGATGCTCCTGCCCTTCAAACACGTCTTGGGAGCTGCTGGGACGTTCCTCTGGAGGCGGTTGTCCTGGGCGGCGCGTTCTGAGCTCAGAGCTCGCGTGCCCACCCGGGGCCGGGGCGAGCGGAACAGG